TGCCTGTGCGTTTGGTGGCCCTGGGAGCCTCGGGCACCGTGTGGCTGGGCTGGTTCTGCTCCTGGTTTTTGAGAGCTGCTCTCTGTTCATAGCGGCCTCCCTGCCGACGGGCACCAGACCCGGTCTCTCCTGACACTGGCAGATTTGGTTTTGTTGGTTTTGTGTGAAAGCCGCAGTCGTGGGGTGGTTTCTCGGGCTTGCACCTGCATTGGTAGTGGTGGTGACCGTCTCTCGGGTGCTGACCGGCCGTTGTGGTGCTCGCGGACAGAACGTCTGTCGGGCCTGCTTCCTGGTCAGGTTGTCGTCTGCGTTACTGAGTCGTAGGAATTTGTAGGTTGGCTACCGCTGCCTCACCACGCCATCCGCGCCCATGAGCACGCCGGTCACCGGCTGCCCTCCGTGTTCTCAGTGAGGGGCTGTACCAGACACGCCGAGAACTCAGCCTGAGTTCCTTCGCGCCTTACTGAAGAGGAGCCACTGCGTGAAGGCCTGGCTCCCCTCTCCTGGGTACCAAACGTTGTCAGGAAGCATGCGTCACACCGGTGTCCCCAGGTGACGGCTGTGGTCGCCAAGGGCAGTGCTGGGGACTCCCCCGGAGAGCCGCAGTGGTCAGCGCCGCCTTCCTGCCCCGAACGGCTGAACTGCTGAGCTGGCACGGCGGGAACTTGTGACCCTGAGGTCGGTGCTCATTGGTGCCAGCGGCAGGACGGACGGGCTGTGCGGGCGGAGAGCACAGCGTCTCAGCAGTTTGATGCAGGCTTGCTCTCTGCCACGTCCTTGCACCCCTGCTGCCAGCGCTGGTCCTGACTTCCTGGGCAGGGCGCCGCCCACCGTGGGCTGTGGGTGTCCGGGCTCGCAGCCAGCCTTGTGTGTTGCTTTTGTAGGGACTGCCGTCGCCTCTGCAGGCTGAGTCCTTTTGCTTCTGGTGGGTTTGTGTCCGGATCCGCCTGTCCGGTCCCTGCTCCCGCCCTGCCTTTCCCAGGAAGCACTTTGTGTTCCTCCGTGCTGCTGTTCGCGCAGGGCGGAGAAAGCGTGGCCCCTTTGTCGTGCTGCTGCCGGAGAGCCCCCGTCTGTTCCTCCGTGCTGCTCTGTTGGGGTTGGGAGAGCAGTGTCGTGATTTGTTCTGTCCACGTCTCCGTGCCAGATGTCTGAAGTGGCCGAGAAGTTTCATCGTCCTCTTGAGAGTCTCCTGCCAGGGCCTGGGACGCTGGGGCTGAGATGATCCTGGGGGCAGGGAGAGCCCAGGATGTCGCTTATATGGGGGTGGACTGTCCCAGAAATGCTCGGTGACCCCAGGAAACCAGACAGTGGAGCTGAGAGCAGAGGAGGTGGGGGCCCGTGTGTGGCTGTTGAGGAGCTGGAAAGAGGGTACAGAGGCCCTGGGGTCAGAGGGCAGAGGTTGTCAGCAACCCCTAGGTCTCCTGAGGATCGCTGTGCGGCAGGTCTGCGCGTGGATGGGGGTGGAGCTGGGAGCTGGGAGCTGGAGGCCGGGGTGTGGGCACCCTGATGGGAGAGGCGGCTGAGCGATGGGGACAGTGGTGGGAGGAGCTGGCTGCCGCGCTGTGGGCTCTGAGGGGCTGTGTGACGTCCAGCTGGCTCTGGCGGCAGGGTGCCGTCTTCGCTGGACAGCAGCTAGAGGCCCTCAGCTGGGCACCTGGATTGCAGGGGATGAGGGCGCGGCAGTGAGGCCTGGCAGCCAGGCAGAAGGCAGCCAGAGCAGCCTAGGACACGCGTCAGCAGGAGCCACGGTTGGCTGGAGAGGCCGACCGGAAACGGCCCCTGAGCTGGGCCTCCCGCTGGCCCCCTGGCGAGCAAGGCCTGTGTTCTGAACTCACGGCTTCTTGGTCAGGACTTGCGGTTCTTGCTTTACGGCCGGAGTGTGCAGGAGGATGCAGCTTTGTTTAAACTCTTCCCAGCACTGTCTGGATTTATAATTCAGCCACTCCATGGCCAGCCCCAGCAAGGGTGGTGGTGCTGACCGCCGTGAGGGGCACGGAGCTGGACTTGGGGAGCACGGAACTGAGGCTGTGTCTCTGGGGTCCCTCCTTGGCAGGGGCCGCCCTCTGGGGCTAGGAGAGGCCCTGCTCTGGAGCGTGCACTGTCCCATTTCTGACCCATTCCCTCGACGGGGTGGGAGTTGAATATGAGGCCAGCTAATAAGCAGGTGGATTTTCTGGGACAAGCCAGAGCTGTGGGGGTCCCAGTCAGTGTGTGCCCTGGCTGCCGCTGGACGTGCATGGATCACCTTCCTCCTTCTTGGGGCTCTGTGGGTCAAGGGAGAGGCCCTGGAAACGTGTGGGCTGGGTGGGCAGAACGGGAGCTGGGGCTGCCAGGCTGCCTGGCGCACTGGGCTGAAGAGCAAGGCAGTGGCCTGTGTGCGTGCGTACGAGCACGTGTGTGCTGGGGGCCGTGCGTCGGCAAGGACCAGATTCTGAGCTCCGCGCTGGCTGTGCTGCTCAGTCAGGGCTGAGCCGGGCAAGTGGCCGAGGACGCCGGCGCCTGGCAGGGCCCTGGCTGAGCAGGTGCAGCCCGCGGGCCTCTTGCTCGTCTGGTGCCTTGGGTCCCACGTCTGCTGAGTAGCGTGGCCCGTCCCCTCTCCTCATGTCCACACGCTGCAGAGGGCTGGTGTCGGCTGAGTCCTGCCGCAAGTGTGAAGCGCGGCTTGGCCGGCCCAGCTTAGCTCCCGCTCAGGGTCCTGCAGGCCTGCTGTTTCCTGCATCTGTTTCAAGGGGAGGCGGAACTCGGGTTCCTGACACCTGATTGTCCGTGTGCAGTCGGGTACGGCCTGCTCCTGCCTGCTGGCTCCAGGGCCCTATGCTGAGTCACGGGGTCTCCTGTGACCCGGGGTTGTTCCTGCAAGGTGGCAGTGTAGCCAGCAGGGACAGCCAGCTGGTGCGAGCTCGGGCGCTCCTGGGACGAGGGCTCCGAGCCAGTGCTCCGTGGAGGCTTGCTCCTGGGGGCAGCTGCAGCTCAGGTGTGAGAGGCAGAGGCAGAGGGAGAGGGAGAAAACTCTTGTCTGCTGGTTCACTCCTCAGATGCCCACAATGACCAGGGCCTGAAGCCAGGAGTGGGGAACTCAGCCCTGTGGGTGGCAGGGCCCCGAATACTCGCACCATCACTGCTGTGTCCCGGGGGTGTGTCCACAGGAGGCAGAGTCAGGAGCTGGAGCCAGGGGTCGCATCCAGGCACCCTGGTGTGGGAAGCGCATGTCTCTCAGCACCAGGGCAGAACCACCCCGCAGCTCAGCCTGGCTCCAGCAGCCTGAGAAGGGGAGGTGCGTGGGGTTTGCCGTGGACCTCCGAGCCCTTGCCAGCTGGGCCGCACCAGCCCCAGTGAGGCTGTAGCTGCAGCACTCTCGGCGGCGGGGGGGGGGTTGGCTGACGTCGGAGAGGCCTCAGGTTGGGCCGACAGGAAGCTCCGACAGGTGGAGCCCAGCTTCTCTGGAGCAGGGGCTTCCTCAACCTGGCCGCTGTCGCTGACGGTCGAGCGTTGACTCAGGGAGCCCCCTGCTGCAAGGTCACAGCGGCCTTCACGTCCCCCTGTCTGCCCGCCTGTCCTTGGCTTCCACGGTGGTCCAGCCCGGCTCGGGGGGGAAGGGGTGGCTCCTCTCACTGGCCAGGCTCCTGACTGCAGTCCATGGGCTGTTCTCTGTCTTTCCGTGATCGTGGGGTGCGAGAGGTCCTCCCTGCCCCAGCGCGGGTGTGGACAGCAGCAGTTGGGGCACAGGCAGCCTGGGCCCGGGGCAGGGAGGCCGAGCCCCCGACACAGACGTGCCTGTCTGTGGGTGCTGGGGTAGCTCCTGCGTTTGGTTCTTGTGAGTGTCCATGTGCAGCAGGTGCTGTTGGCTGTCCTGGGCAAGGGCTGCTGGGTCTGAGGAAACCCCAGGCTGGCATTTTAAGGAGGCCACAGTGGGTACCCGCTTCACATCCCCCGGGATAGTAGGGACATCTCGTCTCTGGCCCTGTGTGGCCTTGCGCTGTGGGTCTCCCGAGTTGCTGGTGGCATTGAGCATCCTGTGTGTGCTTGCAGCCTGTCCTTGGTGCTGTCCCCCGCTGCCCAGTGACCATCTCAGTGACCTGATCCGCGTGTCCATGCCATGTGCACTGCCTTCTGTGAGTCACTCAATGACCACATCAGCGGCTGTGCTCTGGCCGTCTGCTCTAGGGATAAGGGCACCGCCGTCCACGCCCACAAGTTAGCGTCCTGCCTGTCACTGTCCACCCCTACTGTGGGCCTGTCCTGCCTGCCACTGTCCACCCCTACCGTGGGCCTGTCCTGCCTGCCACTGTCCACCCCTACCGTGGGCCTGTCCTGCCTGCCACTGTCCACCCCTGCTGTGGGGGCCTGTCCTGCCTGCCACTGTCCACCCCTCCGTGTGGCTGTCCCCTCCACGGTGTCCACGCTGTGTGCTTTCTTGCTCCCTGGCTCCTCTCAGGCTCCTCACACTTGGTCTCATTGGGCTGTGGTGCCCTTGTGGGAGCTGGGGGGCAGCCAGGGAGGGCAGCGGGACCTCGGCCTGTGCCCCCTCCATGATAAGCAGGGCGTTGTCAGGGCTGAGCTTTGCTCACCGGGGTCCTGACTGGGAGCTTCCTGGGGGGCATGTGTGCAGCAGCGTGGGAGTGTCTGGGTAGGACTGCCTCTGTGGCCAGCCCCTCTGCCGCCGCCCCCCTCAGTAGGACCTGCCCACACTGGAAAGCATGGCTCTGGGTCCCTTGAGGTGGCCGTGGCCCAGGAGTGGCCTCTCGCTGGGCAGGTGGTTACTTTGTGTGCTCTCTGGACCCTGGGAGACATCCAGAGTAGAGCGCAGTGGGGAAGGGGGCTGCGGGTGGGGAGGGGGCTGCGGGTGGGATCCAGTGTGCTGCCTGCCCTGGGCCAGCAGAGGTTCCCCTTGCTCCACCTCCTGTCACAGGATGAGCTGCAATGTGCCGCCCAGGGGGAGGGTCCCTCGGGGGAGTGGGGGCCCGTCCAGTCGGGGTGTCCCCTGGGGCTCCCAGGGAGGCCTCTGAGTTCTGGGGCCCTGCAGTGGTCTGACTGCCTTTTCTCTTCTTGATTTACAGCCAGAAAACCTGCAGAAGAACTGGCTTCGGGAGTTCTACCAGGTAAGCACTGTGGGAGCCCCTTCCCAGCACTCCCTGCGGGGTCTCCCGTGCTGTTCCTCGTGACTGTGACGTCGGGTCCGGGCGTCGTCACGCGTGGCTGTGCTGAGGGGCCCCCACCCCACCCCACCCCCGCTGATCCAGGTTCAGGTGGGGCGGGGCAGCGATGGCGCTTGTCCATGTGCATATCTGAGGGCCCTGGGAGTGTGAGGCCTGGAGGGGCCCCTGGGGGAGCGTGGCTCTGGGCAGGGACAGTGCCTGGGGGAGCCGTGGCTCTGGGCAGGGACAGTGCCTGGGGGAGCGTGGCTCTGGGCAGGGACAGTGCCTGGGGGAGCCGTGGCTCTGGGCAGGGACAGTGCCTGGGGGAGCCGTGGCTCTGGGCAGGGACAGTGCCTGGGGGAGCCGTGGCTCTGGGCAGGGACAGTGCCTGGGGGAGCCGTGGCTCTGGGCAGGGACAGTGCCTGGGGGAGCCGTGGCTCTGGGCAGGGACAGTGCCAGGCGGGGCCTGAGGCTTCCAGGCAGTGGCCACTGCCTCCCAGGCCCTGCTGGCTGAGTGTCTCGGGTGCCGGGGACGTCACTGGGGCTGGGAAGGCGACTCCCTGCCTTCCCGCGTGTCCCGTCAGGAGGAGGTGGGTGAATTGCCTGATGGGTGTCACGTGGTCCTGTGGCTGAGTCTGTGAGGGCCGGGGTGATGTGGTGATGGCACGAGAGGCCACCCTGCAGAGCTGCCATGCAGCAGGCCTGGTGGCTGAGCAGCCCGGCGTGCGCGGGTCCGAGGGGCCCTGTGACTGCAGGGAGGGTGGAGAGGGGAGAGTCCACCCTGCGTCTCGGTGTTTTCCTTCTGGTCCTCCTGAAAGCCAGCTGCTGCCTCTTCCCTGCTTTCATTCTGTAACCCTTCTGTCTGTGGAGGCAGGCGAGCCTCGGCGAAGCCCAGGCAGGCCGGCCGGGAGAAGCCCCAGCTGCCCTGTGACCTGCCCCTTCACGCTTCCCTCCCTGCGTCCTCACCCCACTGCACACGCATGCTCACGCACACATGTCCATCCCCTCACACCCCCACTCCCCCACACGTGCACACACATGTGTACACGCCCACTCCCCCACACATGCACACACATGCCCAGCCACACACATGCACACACATGCCCAGCCCCACACATGCACACACACACACCCCTTACACATGTGCACACACACCCCCACACATGTGCACACACACGCACACCCCCATGCACATACCCACCCCCACACATGTGCACACACACACCCCCCACACGTGCACACATACCCACCCCCCCACACGTGCACACATACCCACCCCTTACACATGTGCACACATACCCACCCCCTTACACATGTGCACACACACACCCCTTACACATGTGCACACACACACCCCACACACGTGCACGCACACGCCCACCCCCCACACCCCCCCACATGTGCACACATACCCACCCCCACACATGTGCACACATACCCACCCCCCCACACGTGCACACACACACCCTCTTACACATGTGAACATCCACACACCCTTTACCCCTACACATGTGCACACACACACACCCCTTACACATGTGCACACACCCACCTACCCCTACACATGTGCACACATACCCACCCCCTACACGTGCACACACACCCTCTTACACATGTGCACACACACACCTCCTATTCACACACACACACCCCACACACGTGCACACACATGCCCCCCCACACGCCCGCTCCCCCACACGTGCACACACACATGCCCCCCCACATGCGTGTACACACATGTACACACACACAAATGCCTAGCCGCCTGCTGTGTGGGCCTGCTAGCGGTATTGGCGTTGGATGAGTAGGAAATGGGCTGTCCAGGGGTTTCCCTCTCCCAGTGCTGAGACCCGAGCGAGTGCTGCTGGCCATGTCTGCGGGTGAGGTGCACGGAGGCCAGCATCCAGTCCACCTGGGTGGTCTGGACGTGGCCTCCGTGGGACCTGTGTGCCAGAGCCGCCCATACATGGGGTGCTCTTTGGTGTCTCTGAGGGCGGCTGCACAGGGGTGGAGAGGGGTCCCTCAGTCTCTGTCCCATGTTCATGAAAGTCATGTCTGCTGGGCACTGGGCTTGATGTGGGGTGGGAGGAAGCAGGTCCCAGGGGTGTCCTTAGTGAGGTGGGGCCGGCAGGTGGCTGCTGTGAGTCTGGTGTTAGCGGACAGTCTCAGGTGAGACTTGGGTCTTACTTCCACGTCTGTTCCTGCCTAGTCTCTGGCCCACTCGGGTGGAAGCTGAGAGGAGATGCAGTGTTCCTGAGCTCTGCAGGACCAACCTTGGCTGGGGCTTGGCTTCCCAGCCGGGGCATCGCTGTGTCCCTGGCCTGAGTTACTTCCAGGGATTGGAAAGGCTTGTGCCCTTCTCCCCCACCTGCCTGGCCTTATGAGGGACCCTTGGTTGGGAGGCTCTGGGTGAGTGGCAGGTGCAGGTAGGTCTCCCAGCTGCCTCAGTTTATTTTAATTTTGGCAATAATGTCTGCAGCTTAAGGTATAGCTTTGTTTGTTGTGGTTTTGTTTTGTTTTGGTTTTTTGACAAGCAGAGTGGACAGTGAGAGAGAGAGAGACAGAGAGAAAGGTCTTCCTTTTGCCATTGGTTCACCCTCCAATGGCCGCCGCGGCCGGCGCACCGCACTGATCTGATGGCAGGAGCCAGGTGCTTCTCCTGGTCTCCCATGGGGTGCAGGGCTCAAGCACCTGGGCCATCCTCCACTGCACTCCCTGGCCACAGCAGAGAGCTGGCCTGGAAGAGGGGCAACCGGGACAGAATCCGGCGCCCCGACCGGGACTAGAACCTGGTGTGCTGGCGCCACAAGGTGGAGGATTAGCCTAGTGAGCCACAGCGCCGGCCGGTTTTGCTTTGTTTTAAAAATTTGTTTTATTTATTTGAAAGGCAGAGTTACAGAGAGGGAGAGACAGAACTTCTGTCTGCTGGTTCACTTCTCAGGTGGCCACAATAGTCAGGGTTGGGCCAGGCAGAAGCCAGGAGCCAGGAGCAAAGAGCTTTATCCGGGTCTCCCATGTGGGTGCAAAGGCCCAAGCACTTGGGCCATCTTCCATCTTCCAGGTGCATTGGCAGGGAGCTGGATTGGAAGTGGAGCAGCCGGGCCCTGCCTGGAGCATGGCACCGCAAGCCTCAGCAACCGGAGCTTGTGTGCCCGGTGCCTTGGTGGCCGCAGCCCACGTGCCTGGTGGCAGGGGCCAGGGACGGAAGAGAAACCAGAGCTTGCAGCCTGGGGTTCAGCTGGGGGTGGCAGAGGTGCACGGCTGCTAGGTCTGCTCTTGGTGTCCTTGGAATCCTAGCGTCCCCATCACACACTTCCTTTGTTTTCCAAAATGGCCTTGAGCACAGCCTTGGTGGGGAAGGGAGCCAGGTCCGCCCTTCCTGCTTTTCTGTGCCCTGGAGCCCATCACAGACCACTGTCTGTCCATCGGGAGAGCCGAGGAACCTCTGGGGCTCTGGACGTGGCTGTGTGCTAGGGAGTGTGGCCCAGGTGCACTGCCTGGCTCTGGCCCTGGCTTGTGCCCGTCCTGCCTGCCCCCCGACCCCAGCTCCTTCTCACGTCAGACTCAGGGACACGTGGCCGGTGAGCCCAGAGCTCTCCCATGCTGGGAGGACTTAGGCCTGAACGAAGGAGCTGTGGTTGGAGTGCTTGTGTCCCCCACGTCCTGCCCCCAAGGGCCGGTGTTGGAGGTGACGAGGTCGACTAGAGGAGAGGCGGGAGCTGAGGTGCCCTCCCTGCACGGGGAGGGTGCAGCAGGCCTGGATCTGTGCCTGCCCCTGGGCCAGGAGTGCAGGTCTGCAGCCTGAGCCCCAAAGTGGGGATGTGTTAGGGCAGCCCAGGCTAACAACACGCCAGGGACTCGGCCAGACTCACAGGGGTGGGCCGTGGCCTTCCACAGATGGGGGCAGGGATGCACGCATGTAGCCTGAGCCCCAAATCCAGGCCTGGAGCAATCCTGCCTGCCTGGAGGGCATCCCTGTCTTCCCTCTCGAGTGTGGCCACGTCACACCCTCCCCAGCAGCCCTGGACACTGGCTGTGAGCAGATGTGGCTCTGGGTGCTGGGGGCGTGGCTGCCAGGTACCGACTCCTGATGCTGCCTGTGAGGGCTGTGCCCACAGGGGCCACTGTGGGAGGTGGAGGTGCTGGGGCAGCAGGAAGCAGCACCCCTGGGCTCCCATGCTTGCTTCTTCCTGGCCCACTGAGCAAATCTCCTCTGGAACTCCTTGGTGCCTGAGGAGGCGGCCCAGGTCAGCTTGTGGTCAGAGGAGGGTGACCTGTTGTGTGGCTTCAGACACCTGGAACCTGGAGTGCACTGAGCTCTTCTCACCGAAGCACTGGGGCCTCTCGTGTGTGATGCCTGCCTTTGTGGCCACGCGGTGCTGTGGAGCTGGCCCCTTTCCCAGGCCAAAGCCCTTGCTCCAAGGGGACCTGGGATTCCAGAGGGTACAGTGGCTCAGGCCAAGCAGCTGTGAGACCGATAGGACTGGATGCACGAGGTGGGCCACTAAGTGCTGCACTTGGGCATCTGCTCTGGTGCACCGCCATCCAGCTGGGCCTGGCCTTCAGCCAGGAGGTGCACCTGGCAAGTCCTGGCTGCCCAGGGCCTCCTGGGGGCTGTGTGTGTGTGTCTTGTGAGCTTACTTGTGTGCCCATTGGCCCCAGGAGGGCAGTGGACGCCCCTTTTCTCTGTCCCTGCATCACTGGAGATGGGTCGCAGCCTTCGCTGAGATCAGGAGGCTGCCTGGCCTTGGGAGTCATGGGTGGCGTGGACGTGGCCGCCAGGGGATACAGCAGCGCCTTGTCAGTAGTGAACCAGCATCTCAGGGCCGCACAGGCGTGGTCCCTTGTCCAGGATGTGAGACAAGGGAGAGGACAGTGAGAGGAGGGGGCAGCAGTGAGCAGAACTGAACGGCTGTGGGGAGGGCTGGGGTGGCAGGGGCCGCAGTGCTGCTGTGTGGGAGCGG